ACACAGCATGGTAAGAGCCTGCGGTGGAGGCGAAACGTAGGCATCATGCAGCCTAGCCTGAAGGATTGTCCACAGAAGGGCGTAGATAGTAGAGTGTAGGTAGCACAGATTTGATGGATTGTGGAAAATCAATCGAAGGACAGCCTTGAGACTAGGGCGTGCACTCAGTATGGCATCTGATGTTGCCACACTTCCTGGACCAGGGTGTCGTAGTTCGGTCGATCGCGACGGAGCCGGCATCCCAGGGTGTGCCACGATGCTTGTCCGATCCACTGGTTCAGCGTGCTCCACATGGCTCCTCCCTCCGGGCGAAGTGACATGCAGATCTGGAATTGAATCCAGTCGGAGGTCACCTCCGTGGTGAGCTTCCGCATGGACTTGAACCTCACCAGGGTCTCTTCCGTAACTGCCTTCCTCATCTGAACCAGTTGAGCCAACAGATCTTCCGCCGGTATTGGCCTCACCGAGTTGTCGACTTCCAGACATTGTTTGGTGGGATTCCATGTAAGATGTTTCCAATGTTTCTGATCGTCGATCCAGTTCAGGTTCTTGGCTTTGGCGAGAGCATCCTCGTCCGCGATCATGTTGGTCAACCTCTGGTGTAGGGTGATGAGCAGCTGCTTGAAGAGCATGAGTTTGAGGGAGTAAGTGATCTTCTCGGGTTCTTCCTCTTTCATCTTCCTCCACTTCTCCGCTGCTTCGCAGAGAACTGGTACCATCCCTTCTGGTCCGGATCGTACAAAGAGGTAGAGGACCAGATCCTGACGGATGGCTGAGATGATTTGCTCCTGACGAAGGACCAGCTGAGATAGTCGATTCATCCTGTACTCCATCCAGTCTGGATCTTGATTTCCCAGTGGCTGCAGGTCCTGAGTCTGTGTCCAGGGATTGGGTGGATGGCTTCCGAAACCATTTGTGTAGCCCGTGATCGGGTTGGCACTGGATGGACTTGGTAGGCCCTGCTTTCCCTTGCCTTTGCCCTTGGTACCCTTGCCCTTGCCTTTGTTCCGGTCCTGTGGTGCCAGACGCTGCCTCTTGGAGTGCTCCGTTTGATGCAGCACATCTCTTCTCGGTTCCTGTTCCCGTTTGACCGGACCGGCCTGGGCCCAAAATTGCCTCTCCTGTTCGTCCAGCTCCATGGGATCCGCGCCGAGCGTCATGGTGCGCTGCTAGAAATGCACAGATATGCAAGACATGACACTGTTTCCAATGACGATCTTTGTTGATGTTTCGCTGATGACAGTAGCGACATGGAACAACAGTATGTCGGCGGAAACCAGTAAGAAGCTTGAGAGTCGCAGGTTGGCAGTCTTTCCACTCTGGATGTTGCATGGTGAAATGATACTTGATGCTGGTAGGAGTGGCTAGCCACTGGTAACACAGCGGGCAGTGGTGCTGGAGATACGAGTAGATCTCCGGTTTCTCAAGGAGGTCAGTCCACCTGCGTGCACGTAGTGTCTCAAGAACATGAGATTGTTGATGAAGAGGTACTGCCTCATGGCTCGGCGTATTGGAGCTGTCCTGCAGGGAAGCGTCTAAGTCAGGGGGTTCAGGTAGAACGGCAGGAGCAGGAGGGGGCAGAGCAGCCTGATCGTCTGACAGGATGTAGGCCCCCTGAGAGAGGTCCTGAGGAGGCAGGGTGGCCGGGGCAGGGACTGGTAGAGGCTCGGATTCATTGGAGCTCGGAGCCAAGGGTGGGGCATCGGCAGGAGGTTGTGTAGCAAGCTTGCGGAGTACCTGACACCGATTGCGTTTAATGTGCTTGACGAGGCCGTCCCATTGTCGGAAGGGATGGGCACAGTGTCGGCACGTTGGAAGTCCTTCTGTTCCATGTGCATACCTGTCAAAAGGCACCGGGACAGCAGCAGGGGTTTTAAGTTCATGCCACTTAGCCTCGTGAGAGCGGAGGAGCCGAAAGGAGGTGAAGACCCGATGGCACTCCTGACACTGGTGTACGGCAGGGTCAGTGATGCCCTCTGTGTCCCCAAGAGGTACCTGCCATTGACGTTGCACTTGAAGATGGAGTGTGGCGGCAGTGTCTCGAGCTGATTCCACCTGGGCTTGGGTCACGAAGCTCGTGTCAGTGCTCAGGCTGGTCAGGCTGCGATGCAAGGCAGCGGCTTCCCTCTGCAGATGCTCCAAGATGGTGGACAGGGAGCATCTGTGCAAAAGAGCCTGTGTGGATTCTTTCTGAAGATGCGCAAAGGATCGGGTGATAGCAGTAGTAGTAGCAGTAGCAGTAGCAGTAGCAGTAGCAGTAGTAGTAGTAGTAGTAGTAGTAGTAGTAGTAGTAGTAGTAGTAGTAGTAGTAGTAGCAGGAGGAGTAGTAGTAGCACCACACATGCTGGTAGGAGGACTTTCATGCGTTTCGGAGCCAGTTCGCAAGACAGGAGCGGGTTTTCGGGGTGGGAGGGTCGGGGGGGGGGAAGGATAATAACGTTCATGTCACTGCCTTTGGCGATCATGCCCAGAACACTGGTATTTACAGCATTTTTGCTCTTTGTACGACATACTGCGCAAGGATGTGCAGCAAGACACGTTGTCACAAGCATCCATGTACGACATACTAGGCAAGGATGTGGAGCAAAACAAGTTGTCACAAGCATTTATGCTTTTGGCGAGCATGCCCAAAACACTGGTATCCATATACTGCGTTCTTGCCTCTTTGTACAGAGTACTGTGCACGTACTGCTTTCATTTTGCGTAAAACGCCCGCAGCAAAAGAAACATACCAAACCTTCAAAAACTACTTCGTGATTTCTGACATCCGCAGCTGTCTGATGCGCGTTTTTGTTGGCCCTGCAAGTACTTTCGGCACTTCATGAGCCTAAACGCACCGGCTTTGCACATTCAACTTTGCGTGGCAGCCAAAACGCCGTAATGGTGCTCAAACCTGAAGATTGCGCTCTGTTTGAAACGCACGACAAACACCAGTCCTCCTACGAGCGTGTGTCCTAGCAGTAGTTAGCAGTAGCAATAGCAGCAGCAGAAAGTAGCAGAAAGTAGCAGTAGTAGTAGTCGTCGTCGTCGTCGTAGTCGTCGTAGTCGTCGTAGTCGTCGTCGTCGTCGTCCCAGTCGTAATCGTAGTGATGGTAGTAGTAGCCGTCGTCTTCCGTCGTAGTCGTAGTCGAAGTAGAAGTAATAGTAGTTGTTGTCGTCGTCGTCAGTGGCACTGGTAGCAACAGTAGCAGTAGCTGCAACAGAAGTAGTTCGATGTTTTGGGTGCTCTGGGGATATGAGGTGTAAGCATCCTTCCGATTTCTGCAGTTTCGCTTCCCACGGAGTTGTAGGCATTGTGGCTGGGATCATAATTTGCTTGCCCGAGGCTCTTTAGGCAATGCTTAAAGAAGGCAACTCAGTGGTGCCCCGGTGGATCTTCTGCTAGTGTATCAGCAACAGGACACTCAAAAATGGCAAGTCCCACTATACTATATACAAGTTAACAAGTAGGTTCTTCTTATGAAGAGTCTCGGTTCGCAACCAGTCTGCAAATGAACTGCAAACGACTCCTTCGTCCCCAATCCAAGGCATCCCGATGCCTGCATACCCAATACCGTGCGTTCGAATGGCAGGGTTTGAGCTTCAGTTTTGGAAAGATATCGTGTGGCAGTTCTGCAGACGTCAGAGATTAGAGATACTGTGGTGGAAGGTTTGGGGCTGATGGCTACAAAGGAAGCTTGGCGATTTGCTGGGGTCAAGGCAGATCAAGAGTCTGAAGGCATCCATCTTCCTGATGCCTGGCGGGCAGAAACCCCAGGACCTGCTGCGATGCCTTGAACACCCATCTTCTACAACCGCATGATGGACGGGTTGGCCGAGCTTTACTGGAACGGCAGCCTTTGCCACGGACCGGGGCGTGGGGGCTGAGGCGTCAGCAGCGTCACCCCCGGCTACACGCCCCGCTTACTTGGGCCGGTTACGGGCACATGTGCGGTTCATGTCGTCTCGTGTGGAGATCCTGCTCAATATCTCTGGGCTGTGCACATGCACGGACGCCCTTCTTTTTCGTCAACGGTGGGCACATCCATCAAACGAAAGCGAGCGAGAGAGCGAGGGAGGGCGTGAGAGTAAAGAGTTCGCCTCGCGGCGGGCAGCCTGTCCGTGCGCACTGCGCGCTGGACGGGGACGCTGCAACGGAGAAGAGAAGGAACGTGCAGAGAATTTGTGAGACTTGCAGGCCAGACCTTAGGTCGACCTGGTGATCCGCTTTAAAACTCTCGGTAACGATCGTTTGTAGTGGTGCGCACAAGACGCGAAATATCGGAGTGGATCTTTCTGCTTGCGCCAAGCTGGACAGCACATTGCTTTGCCTATGACTCTCGCCTGGGAGGCTCAATCAAGTGCAGGTCGATGTCTACAGTCTACAGAGCTTCAGACACCATCGGATCTTCCTCAGTCGTCCGCGTCCCCTGTGCGCAGACTACCGGGGTTCAGCGTGACCGTTTACTTACCCCCACAGCTTGGACCTGAACGATTAGCGTGGTTTCCCCTCGTGATTGGGGTCAGGGAAGCAAGTAGAGGCACGGGATGACGCATTGGGATTTCCGTCGTCATACTGGCACCCTGTGCAACCCGCTACGACTTCAGGATGCGAGCCGATTTCAGCTCACCTCTTGAGTTGCCCAATCCTCCGAAGTGGAACCCAGGCCCTCAAGAAGCTCAAAACTCATGCCTGCTGAAGGTGCAGCACGAGCGTTTCGGGCGCGTGAACCTGTGCAAAGCACAGCAAAGCACATGGGAGGGCATGGCAGGCCGGCAGGCCTTCGGCACAGATGCACCAACAACAGCAAGCGGCGGCAATATAGACACAGCTGCAGGACGCAGGCAGCAGCGGCAGCAGCGGCAGCATCATCGTCAAACACCGCTAGCAGCACCAGCTGCATCCAGAACAGCTTCAAACAACTCTACTAGGACTATGCCACCACGGGGCCGACGGGTGAATGAGACATCTCCGTGCCCTATCCTAGAACTGCACAACAACCTAAAGCCCGAGAGCTGCACTACACCTTCGAAGTCTTTCGCAGGTCCCATGCCCACGCCTCCTTTGCCAGATCTTGGGCTGTCTTCCCGCGCGAGTTGCGCAGGTCCACGCGCGCGCCTGCTTGGGTGCAGGCAGATTCGCTCTTGACGGGTGTTCCTCATGTGTTCTATCGCTCTTGTTGACTCCGATGATTTGCATCAACAGTGACTCCAACTTCCATTCACGGCACTTTGCATTCTTGCACTTGTCAGGGAAGTCGAGCGTTTCGAGCTCGACATGCTTCTTCCCCTCTACATCCCGAAGCTGAGCCTTTAGGACTTTAGGGGTTCAGGACTCCCTAACTGTAAAATCGAACCGAATCCCCCAATCCAGGCCGGGCCGGGCCCGGGTCCTGCTGCGAGCAGGACGTACGCAGCTCCGAAGGAGCCACAGAGAATGCTCAGCATCAGGGGCGTGGCGCGCGAGTGGTGGTAGGCGAGTAAGCCTGAGATCGGAATAGAGAAAAAAGAAATCAATTTAGACAGAATTTTTAGGACTCAGGATTGAAGTAGAATCTGGGACACAAGTGGGAGAAAGGGCATCTTGCGTTGCTCCGTCACCTTGTCAGCCTTTGGCTCCTTCTTCTGCTTTCAGGCGAAGGTCTGTTAGGCGTCAGCTTAGGGCGGGAGCTTCTGGATCTTTAGGGTTTGGGGTTTAGGGTGGTTATTTCAAAATCTTTGTGTCTCATGCCCAGGACACCACCCTTCCAAGACGGATGAATCCAAAGCCAAGCGGCTGAGTCGGGAATCGCGTGTGGTTCGCCGTATCTGGGAAATCCTTGGAATCGTTGTCACGGCTGAACCCCTGCCATTTGCCCCGTCAGACATGTCTCTTCATGATCATAAGCAGCTTTCACATCATGCCGTTATCATTATCAGGATCATTGTCGTTGTTGCAATTATACCATTGGGTATTGTCATCATTGCGGAGAGCTAAGCAAACGACAGCCGCCTTGTTACAGGCTCTGGTCCCAGCGTCGTGGCACGGACTCAAAGGCTTTGCATCTACCGATGTAACCCGAGCCAGGCTGCAGCACCTAGACACTGCCACAAATAATCGTACTTACCACATCTGCGATTTCAGCAATACTGATAAGCTTGTAATGATAATCGGAGCCCCAATATGGTGATGATCATGGTCTTCTTGGTATGATTACAGATACCAGTACTGCAATCTCAGGCCATCCTAGCAACAATAATGTTGGCATTGCGGCAGTACTCCTACTGTCACAATTAGAAAGGGGCACCTGAACAGTATCCACCAGGATGGCTGCTTTGACCATTGGATGTCGAACTGCTCGTTGATGTCCGCCCGACCCTCGCGTCACGTACTTTCGAGAACTCTGCTTGCTGTCGTCGCCAAACTACATGCCATCGCGCTGAGCTAGCAGAGATATCAGAATCTTTCACAGCTCGAAACCTGCGACTCAGGATTCACAGCAGCGGGGCAGCCGGCCTGGATCAAGGCGGACACGAGGTTTGGTGAACCTGTGCATTCCACAGGATCCAGGTGGTGCAGCCGAAAAGCAGCACCAGCAGCCAGTAGCAGCAACAGGACCAGCAACAGCAGCAGGAGAGACACCAGCCATCACCAAGCAACAACATCACCATCACCGGTATAGTTGTAATCATCATCATCATCACAATTCACAATGAACAGTGATTAACAGCCATCGTCGCACAGCCACAGCCACCACGACCACCACAGCCACGGCCCCCGCCATCTCTCAGAAACATCATTGCAACTTCGGAGCCACAGCAACAGGCGGTGAGTCGATGACAGCATATTATTATGATTATTCTTATTCTTATTCTTATTATTACTACTATTATTGCTATTCTTATTCTTATTCTTATTCTTATTATTACTACTATTATTGCTATTCTTATTCTTATTCTTATTCTTATTCTTATTCGTATTCTTGTTCTTGTTCTTGTTCTTGTTCTTGTTCTTGTTCTTGTTCTTGTTCTTGTTCTTATTATTATTACTGCTATTATTACTATTATCATTATTACTATTAATACCATTATTACTGTTATTACTATTATTATTATTACGGCCTCCGCGCATGATGAAGGCGAAGTGCAAGCCATGCCTGTGGAACTCAGGCCCCAACCCCCAAAAGCCCCCAAGATCCGCTAAACTCAGACCCCCTGTTGCGGGTCTGAGGTTCAGGTTTTGGGGTTTAGGGTTTAGGGTTTAGGGTTTTGGGTTTTGGGTTTTGGGGTTTAGGGCCAAAGCCCCCACAGCGTTTTCAACAAGGCTTTTCTTGATCTTTCGGAGATGTCTCCCTTGTATCTCGGAAGCAAGGAATGACCCTGAACTGCCTTATCATATTCTGGGCCGGATCCCTGAACTTTTGGGCACTGCCCTCTCTGGGACAGCACTAACCGAATTACAAATCCAATCAGAGTCTCCATGCGGGCTGTGTCAAGATGCATGATGGGTGCATACGACTTCAAGTGCTGACCTTTTTCCGCCGCATCAGGGATTTCGGAAGCGGGATGCAAGTTCTTCCTTTTCTTATGGATCTCCTGGATGACCTCGCAACTCCAACCCTCCTCCCCAGAACCCTACAGCCAGACAATACCAATTTCATGCGTTGCCCCTCCAACCCCCACAACTTTCCTGTCATTTCTATTCTATTGAAAGGCTTGTGCCGCTCGCCCCGTTCACTTCCACAGCTCTGTAGCCCAGTTGCTGCAAGCTGTGGTTGGGCACCTGCGCCGGACTTTGCTAATATAGGGGCCTCAACAATTAGAATAGGGCTTTGGGGCCCCTTATACCACAGTTATAATATGGAACCCCCAAAATAGCGTAGGTAGAAATCAATGCCTCTATATATTACCGGCAAGACCTTCGTCAACACTCAACACCAACACCCCAATTCTTGATAGCCAAAGAACTCTGGATAGCCAAAGGACGAGTCATACTGATACTGAGGCATCTTGCTGTCGGTACGGTTGCAGAAGCGTTCTTGGGGCTTCAGGCATTCTCAGTATGGGGGCTTTATGGTGAAGTTCAGGTTTCGGTGCTCCGCTTTTTGTTGGAACACCACGCCTGAAGCAAGATCTCCTGCAGCGCAGCCACGGCCCCTTCTGCGCATGCCGCCAGGAGCGGCACAAGCTCGGGAAAGGCCTGGCGAAAGGATGTTGCAATTGAGAAACAAAAGATGCCCAGGGGCATGTGGCTGGTTGCCAGGTGCCAGAGCTACAGATGACAAGAGACGAGTATCAAAACAGGGGGATTACCCTGAGGCGCAAAGCCCTCGTTGCCTGCATCGTGAGGTCTGCACCGCCCTGACAGAGGAGCCGGATTCCTTCGGCATTGTCCGCGATGCTTGCCCAATGTAGCGCAGTGGCTTTCCGGCCATCCCGACTGTTCCTCCGGAGGCTGCAAGAGTCTGAATAATTAAGATATCGCTGTACGTACTTTACTCGAACTTGAAACGGTGTCAGAGTGTTTTCTCCTCTTGTTCTGGAGGGCCATCAAGATTGCATTTACGACACCAACATAAAGGCTGCCACTAGGAATGTCACTACCACTACCACCACACAGCAAACCCACTACTTCTGCTGCTAGTCCGCTACCGCCACTACTCTTGCCATGACAGCAACTATTACATGTCCTACTCTTGCAGCTAGTAGTGCTGACTACGACCTCTACGATTGTGATGTCGACTACCACGTTTACGAAAAGGTCGATGACGACGACGAAAAGGACGACGGCTGCTGCTGCTACTTCTACTCCTACTCCTGCTCCAGCTCATGCTCATGCTCCCGCTACTAGTACCAACACCACTACCACTACCACTGCCACTGCTGCTGCTACTACTACAACTACAACAACAACTACTACTACTACTACTACTACTACTACTACTACTACTATTTTTCAATTGAACGCTGCGCGAGCGTGCTCTGCGCTTTGCGGGCGCCTTTGGTCCCGTGCACTCGTGAAACTGGTTACCTGCTAGCATTCATCGCTCATGCCTCTCAATCTACTCGGTTGACTAAAGTTGCGACTATGGCTTCCTCCTCCGCCACCTTGTTGTAAACAGACGCGTCCGTCTGTGCACCTATCTCAGCAGTTAGGTCGTACTTCGGGCGAAGCCGGCGCCTTGAGTATCCGTCTCGCGGCGTCCCACACGGATTACTCATGCTGGAGACAGAAGGCCGTAAGGGTCACATGTGCGTACCTGCAAAGCTGAGTGAGTCGAGCACTGACAGCTGACTGACCTGATCGGCTCAGGCTAAGCGCAGAATCCTGTATTTTGCCGTGGCTAGCGCTCTGCACTACAGCTCCCGAAGAGATTTGCAAGCGTCGGAAGAGCACCGAATTCCCAGAGGCTGTGCCATACGGGATTTGAGGAGTCTGTGACATTGCCCTAAATTCACTGATTGTGACCTGCGGCCACTGCTGCGAAGACTGATAGTATCCGTGCCAGGACCACTGTTGCCACCAGTCCCAATCTTCCTCCTGAGATGGGCGTGCCGGTCTTGCCCATTGGCTCGAGGAGGAAGACGAGAGGGCATCGCGTTGGCGTTTACCCTCAGTGTCAGCCTCCCGCATCTGCGGGCGCTTGTTGGGTGCGGCAGCAGCAGCCAAACGAGCCATACGCTTGTCCTCTTCAAACCCCTTGTCGTGCTGAATCCGCATCTTCATGATGGAGTGGGCGTCTTTCATGGGTTTGAGCTTGAACATCCTGGCTGGGAGTCCAGCTGATTTTGCCGCTTCGTTGTAGACCGTCATCATGGAAGTGGCGATCATGTTGAACTCGATCCGCGTGGGGAAGTGGCGTTGGAACTCCTTCTCATCCCACATCCTGTTGAAACATGCATGGATTAGACCATGCACCTTAGTGGGGGCGTCCAGTTCCTGGTAGGCTTCTCCAGAGCCTGTGGCAATGGTGACTCGTCCGTCGTTGGTAAGGACTCTGCGCACTGACATGGCAGTATCCCAGGTGAGGCCGGACTGAGTCTTTACCAACTTGATGGCTGAGAAAAGCGAAACCACCTGACTGAGAGCCTCCACCCGTGTGGACCAGAGGTTCTGCTGCTCCTGGTCGGTAAGACCTCCAAGAATAACTGGGGCCACCAGGATATTGATGGAAGCCAGTGCTCGAATCCAGTCCTGGTGAGACGGGGAGCTCAACATTTGAGCGAGCTCCAACCTGGTATATTTGACAACCGTTGGGGGAGCCGGTTGTGGAACATAGCCAACGGCTGAGCATTCTTTGCCGGGGGCTCGTAAGCTGACGGGGGGCGGGAGGGGGGGGGAGGCGTGAGACGCTGGGAGGCGGAAGCCCTGCGCTGCCTGGTCTTGAGGAGGAGAGCCTGCCTTGGGGAAGCCGGGATAGCTGGAGGGGGAGCCGGCGCCGTAGGCAAAAAGGAGCTGGCAGGGGGCGGCTTTGTCAATCCCTTTGGTGCGGGTACGGCTGGGAGGGAGAGGGATCTCCTGTGGTGGCGCGGGCTTGGGAGGTGGAGGTGGGCAGGGCGCAGAGGCAGTGGCCGCCCGAACTCCTTGTGCAGCAGGTTGTGGCACAGGGTCATGCTTCTGCGTGACAAAATGGTTCTTGATGCCGTGGCCAGTGCTGAACTGAACATTGCGGTTGTGCTTTCGACAGTGGAGGCAACATAACCACATTGCTCCGGAGACCTCCATTTGGCCTAGTCCGCGAGGGATAAGTTCCAGCACATCCTGCTCCGTAAGGCCTTGATTATAGTAGTGGGTGTCGCGGACGGTGGCCATAATCTCCGCAAAGGAGTTGTTCTGGATGCTGTCCGCCACATACATTTCGATCTCCTCCTGTGTAGGAGGAGGAGGAGGAGCCGCAGTGGCCTTAGCCATGGTCTGTGACCTAGGCGGCTGAGTGGAGCTGTGCTCTATGGCCTAGTGTCAACCTGGATTTCCAGAGAAATATCTGGAACTTGACTTTGCAGCATCCGATCCGTTCTCTCCTTTGTGGTGGGATCTCCCTGGAATCCCTTCTGCCACTTCCAGCATCTGGTGTAGGCGATCGTGGTGCGATTGGCTGACACGAAGAAATGGCCGTCGTTGTCATAGGTTTTGTTCTTCACGCGCCTGTCCCAGCACTCCTGCAGCAAGTAGACAGGGCCGAACTTGGCGGAGACGTTCCAGCCAAGTTGGGGGGAATGGCCAAGATCCCGGCCCAAGATCTGCCAGAGAAACTTGCAGAAGGTCATGTAATCCAGATTCTGACGGCTGAAAGCGTGCTGTATGGCTTCCCTCATCAGAGGATGGCGGGGCTTGCCATAGATGATGCCCTGAAAAATATGGTCAGCTTTGACTCCTATGGCCATGACCATGAACTCCTGTGGGAGTTGGCTAGGTGGGGAGGGTCTGTGACCCACTTCACCTGCCCTTTGTGAATGAGCTGTGCTCCAATCTGCTGCCATGAGTTGCATTACCTGCTCCCAAGGTACCACAAAGCCACATTTGATATCCACATATAGGCCTCCGCGCTGATAGTGGTAAACGTAGCGGAAAACGTCAGCCCGATGAGCTGGCTGATTGAGGCGGTCCAGCAGATTGGAGCCATATTTCCCTGCAAGTTTCACCAGGGTGGCACGGAGAACTCCGTCATCGCAGAATTCGCGGGTAAAGCCCGCGAACATCTTGGCCGCAACTTGCGCAGGCTCGGGCTTGTCGTCGTGTACGTAGGTCTGGAATAGAATCTGCGGGACAGGAGTTTCTGCCAGCTCCGGGAGATGCAAAAAGCGCATTCCCCAGGGCCCATGTCCGTACTGCATGGCCACTTCAGAGAGGTTGCGTACCGTGCGGCACTGGGACAGTGCCTGGGCTGCCAGCATTTCGACATGCATGTCTTGCTGACGGGCATTCCATCCTGCAATCACGAGGATGGGTAGGCCTGGTCTGTGGCGCATTTCCTCTATGGCTCTTGTGACGAGCGCTGGGATAACGATGTCCGCCACCTCCGGTCTGAAATGGAGGTTTCTGGTGTTGTAGAGTTGGTCCACGCCACCTACCCCGGGTAGCTGTGCCAAATCCATGATTTCCTGATGAGTCAGGTTTTTGTCCGCAAAGCCGTACTGGACTCTACCGTCTATCAGGTAATCATAATTGATCTGCTTCTCAGGGCGTAAGCTTCGAGACAAAGGAATGATGCGTACATTGATTTGCCCATTGAGATGATGCTCCAAAATGGAGGCCACCGCCTGACTCTGGACCGCTGCGCTGAACCGGAGTGGTCCAAAGAGCCCAAATTGCCAGTGAAGTAGTTCTAGGATGGAGGGGACACTGCTTGCCGAGATGTTGAGGGCGGCGCCCGGACAAAAGACCTGCCCCGTGAGCAGGGGGAATACTCCATATGTATGTCCCCGTAGCATGTGCTGCAAGGTGCTGTCGCTAAGCACCAGGAATGGCCCCAAGCTAGGAGGGGAGTCCATGGTCGCAGCCGTGGGGCTACTGGGCCAGAGTCTGTGACACACGGCCAGGGTGAGCTGTGCTCTCTGCCTAAGTTTCCAATACTGTCCAGGAACACGTCATGCTCCATCTGCAAAGTCTGTCATACGTTTGAAGAGGAGATGGGACCTAGATAGCGAAAACAAAGAAGTTTCGATGCCGACAGGTGTGAGCAGTTGCTTCTGACGGCTGCGGTGTGCGAATGCAACGTTGCCGATGACTCATGGCTAGCTACCAAGCAGGGGGCGTCACATCCTGTCTGACAGAAAAACAACAGCAGAGGGCACTCGAGCTATTCCAAATGCCGAGGCGTGTCGCCATGGACCTCAGGGTGCAGAGTAAACTGAAGTGAGGCGTCCGAGGCAGCAATGATTGGCCACACAGGCTTGGCAGCTTGTTGTAGCGAGTTTTCTCCCGACAGGCGGGTAGCCTTGCTCTGTTGGTGCAAAAGCAGAACGAGTGGCTGTGCCACGCTTGAAGGGAGGCTGTGCCATATTCCTAGCATGAGATTCATGCCTTTAGCCGTCGGCCACAATCAAATCTCAGGGGAGGTAGCCGTAGTTGTAGGCGGAGTGGGCCCAGTGAACCTCATCATCCCTGCTGGCTGCATCAGCGTACCCCTGAGGTCCATCAGCTTCCCAAAAGCCGCAAGAAATTTCTCAAAGGCGATGGAGAAACCCCAGCACTGAGCGGGCTCGAAATCTCTGCACAGCTCGGGGCTGTGCCCTGCGCGACACCTTCAAACGTGTCATCAGCATCATCGTGGTGGCACCCTGTTGGTGCCGAATTACCAGAATCAGGCGGGAGCAAGCTGAATTCTGAAGCTTACCGAGTGCCTCTTGCAGGTGTGGGGCTATTCAAGGCCCCTGCAATCTTGGTATAGCAAACTGTCTGCTTTGCAGCTTGCTTGAGCCGGAACCAAAACACGAGGTAAGAATGCACACAGCAGTATCCCCTCAAAGGCCCTGTATGATTGCACTTTGGATCCCGAAGCCCTGCTGTGACTTGTGTTTGGCCCCTGCTTTAAACGTGACGCTGGGAAGCTGCCATTCGCAGAGTTCCCGAGGCCTGGATCGCGACTCACCGCTGCCATTAACGGAAGCAAAGCGCCTCGGCTTCAACTCTCCGTGATCCCGCCGACGCGGCACCATCTACCTCCGCCCTCCGCCGCGGTGACGACGTCCATTCCGGAGTGGCTGTGCGGGGGCAATGGGCGGAGCACGAGGCAGCCCCGGAGGCGCGATTTCTTCAGCGCATCGGCAGCCATGCGCAACAGCATGCCCGTACTCATGGGACGCATGACAACGTTTGCAGCAGTATGCGCCGAAGTGCCCGCTGTCCGAGGCCAGGTACTGGCAGGCGGGGTTCGCGCATGCGAAGCGTTCGACTACCCCCTCCATCGATGGCGTTCCCACGCTTGCACTTGCAGCCGGTTCCCGGGCGACTGTCGACGCGAGGCGTGTTGCAGGGAAGTGGGTTGCCTCTGGCTTGCCGACGACGCCCTTCGGTCCCAGCAGAGAATCAAGCAAAAAACGCGGCGGAGGAAGACGACGCCATGTAATCGTTGGCAGCCTGGGCAGCCTTGCGTCGACTGCTGCCCAGCAGCCGTCTGTCCTCCTCCAGTTCCTCCGCGCCGGGGAAGTACCCGCCGCTCGGAGGAATCCGGAACGCGGGCGCACCCGAGCCGCGGCGGGCTCGGGCAAAGTGGCCTGCGCCTGCCCACAGCAAGGCTCAACGCCCGCAGCGCCCGCAGAGCGAGCTCCGCACTGGGGGCCTCCACCTCGTCCACCTCCCGGAGCTGCTGGGCCGCAGCCGCCAAGTGCTCGGCGGCCGCAAAGCCGCTCACCGCCTCTGCGGCCTCGGCGAGGCCCCCGGCAAGAAGCTGGTGGAACTCCTGCTTCGCCAAGGTTTTCTCCACTGCTGCTCTTTCCTTCTTCACTTGGCATTCATCTGCTGCCGTGGCTTCTGCTTGCAGATGCGAAGAGGCATCGGGCCGGATCTGCTCGCCCATATTGTGCGATGCTTCTACGGCCACAGCACGCTGGCGAGCCGCTGCCGCCTCAGTCTGGAAGCACTCGTCTGCTGCCTGTGTTGCGACTTCCAGGACTTGGCTGCAAAAGCTGACTGCGGCTTCTCTTGCCACTTCGCGCTCGGCAGCTCTTCTCATCTTCTCTGCTCTTCCTCACGGCGTGCGGCTTCTGCCGCTTCAGCTTGCAGATGTACACGAGCATTTGCTGATGCCAAAGGCAAAATGCGCTGAGTGGCTGCTTGTGCGCCGGCTTTCGCGACAGCACGCTCTGCTGTCATCGGTTCGGCCTCCGCTTGCCTTGTGGCCTCTTCCGCCATGGCTTTCTCCTTTGCTATTCTCTCCTCGTCCTCCTCCTTGCGCAACCGCTCGGCCTTCAGCGCATACTCCTACTACTACTACTACTACTACTACTACTACTACTACTACTACTACTACTACTACTACTACTACTACTACTACTACTACTACTACAACTACAACTACTACTACTACTACTACTACTACTACTACTACTACTACTACTACTACTACTACTACTACTACTACTACTACTACTACTACTACCGCCACTAGTACTACACTACTGCCACTACCACTACCACTACCGCTATCGCTATCGCTATCGCTATCACTACCACTACCACTACCACTACCACTACCACTACCACCACCACGACTACTACTGCTATTGCTACTGCTACTGCTACTCCCACTCCCACTCCCACTCCCACTCACACTCCCACTCCGACTCCCACTCCGACTCCCACTCCTACTGCTACTCCTACTCCTGCTCCTGCAACAACAAACCCACTTACCACGGCGACAACAACAACAACAACAACTACTACTACCACCGCTACTACGATGAGATACGGCTGCGGCTACGGCTACGACTATGACGACTGCGACTACGGCTACGACTACGACCACCACTAACTACGCTACTGCGACTACTACTACTACTACTACTACTACTACTACTACTACTACTACTACTACTACTGCTACTGCGACTACTGCTACTGCTACTGCTACTGCTACTGCTACTGCTACTGCTACTGCTACTGCTACTGCTACTGCTACTGCTACTGCTACTGCTGCTGCTACTGCTACTGCTACTGCTACTGCTACTGCTACTGCTACTGCTACTGCTACTGCTACTGCTACTGCTACCACTACTACAGCTACTGCTGCTGTTATATCTTCGACACTGGCGTTAATAAACTGTGTATCACACTGCAAATGCAGTTTCGCTGTTGATTTTCTTGTTATATGTGTTTGTGGTCGTCTCTCTCGATTTTATGCTCGACACTTCTTGAACAGCAGCTGGACAGAAGAAATTTGACACATGCTCAAACAGACTGAGGCACGGCCACGCACGAGCCGCCAAGAGCAGCGAGACGGCATCGTTTCTTTTGTAGCATGCTGCGATGGATAGAACCGGCATGTGCTTTGGCAGCAGAGCCTGGGGGTTCCACGTAGTGTTCAGTCAGCGCGGGAAAAAGCAGAGAGATCGAGAGGTTCCAGCTGTTCTTCTACTTGGTTTTGGTACTCCAACTTTGCCAACACTACGCACCCATGTCCGTCCTCCAACTTTCCCTTGCTGGTCCTGTCGTTCGGATCAGCTCTTTGCTGCAGCAGGGCCGTGATGAGCAAGGGACGACCATCCATAGCGGCGAAACACAGAGGCGACCAACCGGCCTTGTCGCGGTCAAAAATCCCACGAAAGCCATTCCTTGGACTGACAGCCCGACATCTTGACGGAATGGCCACAGCCCTGACCAAATCGAAAGAGAGTCTACAGGTAAAATACAGAGTTGATGATGCCCCCCAAACCAGTGACCAGTGAGTCCACCCGTGCGTTGGTCGGTTTGTTTACCTGTCTATCTATCTTTCTATTCATCTATCTATCTGTCTATCCACTATCTCACACCATCTACTCGAGCACGCTAGGGTTCTGATGCAGAAAGCGATCGAGCAGAAATCGTCCGGGATCGGCAAAGGGATCCACCTCAGCATCACTGGCGGTCATACTATTGTTGGCACCGTCATTGCTGGATGTGAGTACTAGTAGTAGCCGTCGTCGTGGTGGTGGTGGTGGTTGTGCGGTGGTGGCGGTGCTAGTGGCGGTGTCAGTGGTGCTGGTGGTGGTGGTGGTGGTAGTAGTAGTAGTAGTAGTCGTCGTCGTCGTAGTGGTGGTGGTAGTAGTGGTAGTAGTAGTAGTAGTAGTAGCAGTAGTGGTAAGGTAGTTTACCACCGTACGCACGACGCTTGCTCTAAGCCATCTTAGGAGCACATCCGCTTTGCTCGCTATTTGGGGAACTTTCGTAATGTCCTACCTCCTACCACTTCTTGTTGTCTCAAAATCCACTTGTCGACTTTGCAAACTCGAGCTTTGGATTTGGAAGGGTTCGGGATGGTGGGATGGGGGGTAGGGGCATGGGGGGGTGGGGGCTGGGCAGAAAAGACATGGACTCTATGATTTTGCTCTGTTAGAGTCCAATTTTGGTCTAACGGAGATGCCCCGTAATCTTAATATGCTCTCATGTATGGAATCCTGTTGAGTTTCTGGTGCTGCCAGCGGTCTTTCACCGTTTTCAGCCAGTTGATTCCCTTTGCCAACCGTTGCTAAAGTTACCCATTGCTGGCACTCCGAAACACTGCCAGCATTCATTTATCTCGTCTCATCGAGGCAATAGGAAACAGTGGAAAGCGATTTCACCAGGTACGTTGCCCCAGATACGGCGCCCACGTTACATACGTGGGGGCCATACGCATCACCAGGGCTTCAGACAAGGACCTGGGCCCTCTTCGGAAGCACGTTAGTTATTAGCCCCGAAACCGTGCCAAACTGAGGAAACAACTCCGGGCTACTACCAGAAACAATCAGGAGAGCAAGAAGCTGGCTAATGCTTCGAAGGCTACGAACACAGCTTTTCGATTCTTTAAGCATAAACCCTGAAGGGGCCCTGAGTCTTGAAAGTAAAGCAGGCACCTCCGTGGTGAAGCCTGGAATGGCCATGTCAATATGGTCAGCCGTGAGCTTGGCAAAGCGCACCGACTGCTGGTTCCTTGCGGGTTCACAGAAAAGGGGCATAGGTTCGGGGCTTAGCTGGCATAACAGGTTTAGACTCTTAGACTAGAGGGACCAGGGGTTTCGTATGGGCCGAGCTGATTTCGCTGGCGGATTTAAAGGTTTGAAGGTCAATCTACGAGGAGTCCATCCCACTCCAATCTTTTCGGCCACGGAGCAAGAGGAAGCGATAATTGTGCAATTCGCCCTGCGAGAGGTAGTACAGCAACTTGCTCCAGACCATCTGCACGATGATGGTGCTCACGCGTTGGCGGTCTTCCTCATGAGTGAAAGCCCCATCTCCGACAGAGTACCTCACATCCAGGCAAAAGACGCGAGGAAAGCTGTTGGTTGAGGACTTCAAACGTCACCAGCCCAATCTGGGTGCTTCAGCCATGGCACAAGAAGGAAGTGAATTCTGGCAGCAGGGTCTGGTGTGTGGCGCTTTCCACAACAATAAGACTGCTGTCAATGTGGCCCAGCTCGCGCGACATTCTCTCGGCTCTGCACCAACCCCTGCAGGGATCAAGCATCTTCGTGTTTATGTTATAATGCAGGTCAGCTCGCTCACTGCTCGCAGGGATCAGTCGCCTGCAAGAGATCTCTACACACGAAAAGTCGGGCACGAAACAGTCTTACTGGAACTCTTCCTCCGCACGAACTGAAGTGTATGTATGCTGCCTTGACATCGCAGATGAACCTCAACCCCAACGGCCTGACAACCTAATGACCTAATCTTCGAAGCGCACCGAAGGCTTGGCGCTTTGAGAATATGGCCCACGTTGAGCCCCAAACTAAACCCCTAAAGCTTTCATCCTTTCATAAACCCGGTATCTTTCTCGTGCACAAGAGCCTAACCGACATGGCATTGATGTTGAACAAGAAATGCTCTCATGTCTGTGGTGGAAGCTGCGTGGGTTGATCAGAGTAGCATCGCTTCGGACACCCGAGACCTTGAATCCAAAGTTGATTAGCGCCAAAGTCTAAACTCACACTGTGAGACGTAGAGCTTCCAGTTCGAGCCTGAAATATCCCGAAATCTTCAATCGTCAGACCTGCAGCAATAAGTTCTAAGCCCCAAATGTTTAAAACCGAAGCCCCGAAACCTAAACCCTCAGACCCCACCGGCCCTGAACCCCAAATCCGAAAGCCCCATTGCGCCCAGCCCGGCCTTCCACCCCAGGTCGCCTGGCTCAGGATTCCCCCGTGCTGCCTGAGCGAAGAGAGCAACACGCCAGGCCACGACCAGAGCTTTGGGCTTGTCTTGCGGTCCAGGGGCTTAGGGTATAAGGATCACCATGAAGATGATACAGAAATGCGATCATGAGTGACGATGACGCTCACAGTTGTCCAGATGATGGCCAACAACGTGGTTATGAAATTCCAGAAGAAGAATGATGGGAGGCTTAATATAGGGGCCTTAATAATTAGAACAGGGTTGTGGGTTGATGCGCGCGGAAGCCTGTCGACGAAGAGCGAAACGAAGGAAGGAGGGCATATGCATCCTCAAAATTAGAATAGGGTTTTGGGTTACACTATACTATATTTATCCGCCGACCCCTGTGGCGGGCGGCGCCAGTGATATCCCGAGAGGTGTGTTCGATGTCTGGGGAGTGTGTTAGAGAGTAAGCAAAAGTTTTCCGTTCTCACCGCTTTACCCACTGCCCTCACCACCCCCCCAGTGCCCTCACCACCACCACCCGCGCTGCTCTCACCCCACTTTGCTGCCCTCGCAGTACTGTGGAGTTCGCTGTATTTGTAGGTGGGTAGAGAGAATAAAAACCTGCCAATGTGTGCTCGACCCCACCGCCCCCACCGTCCTCACCACCCCCACCACCCCCACCGCTCTCACCACCCCCACTGCCGCTACCGCCCTCACCACCGCCACCGCTCTAACCACCTTTGCTGCCGCCACCGCTCCACCGCCACCGCCCCCACCGCTTTCACTACTTCCACCGCGTTCACCGCTGTATCCCCAGTGCCCTCACCACCACCACCCTCACCACCCCCACCGCCTTTACCGCCGCCACTGCCCACACCACTCTTACTGCCCTTGTAGTACTGTGGAGTTCGCTGTATTTGTAGATGTTTAGAGAATATGTACCACCGCCCTTACCGCCGCCACAGCCCTTCGATGTCTGGGTAGTGTGTTAGCGAGTAAGCAAAAGTTATATCGCCTTTCTAGGCTACACCCGAAAAACCCAGCCCAGACCCGACCACTCAAACCCAGGCCCCAGTAGACCCAGCCCAAAACCCGACCACTCAAACCCAGACCCTATCAAACCCTGAGGCCCTAAACCCCTAACCGCCACGGAGGGCGCCTAACCGCCACGGAGGGCGAAACCCTAACCGCCACGGAGGGCGAAACCCTAACCGCCTTTACTATAGAAATGTTACAGATAAACCACTATGACATGAATATGACATGAAGTCTCCATGGGGGCTGCTCGTGCTCTTGCCTGCTTCTGGGATCTTCTGGGGTCGGCGGCATTGGCGGCAGCCCCTAGAATAAATCGGGCAGCGCTTCGCTGCCCTGTATGGACTGAGCTATGGCTCAGACGAATGAGCTTCGTCTGCGAAGCAGAAGCCACGACCGACAGTGCCGCCGACCCGCCCCGGACCCCGCATCATCGGACCCTCGTTTCTCCCTCGGGCCGCGCGGGGCCTGGCCCGAAGGCGTCTCGGAACGCGCACGCGTTTTGCAGCCATTCCCCGCGGTGTGGCGGGTTTCAGGGCCCAGCAGGCGAGCCGGCGAGCATCATGAGCCCTCGGGCGCCCGCAACCGGCCCCGCGGCGCGAAGTGGGCGCGAAGTGATGATTTCCAAGTTTTTGCGTGGGTTGCGGAAGCCGCCAAAGGGCGCGCATCATGAGCATCAGCGGGGTCCGGCGGACGGGGGGTGCGGGCTACATGCAGGGCCGACGGGGGCTGAGAGCCTACGATCACCCACAAGTTGCGCACTTCGGGCCTACGTTGCACTTATCTATATACCGCGGGTTTCTGACAACAGCTCGCGCTGCCCGCACCTGGGCGCAGCCCCTAAATAAGGGACTTCGAGTCAGAGCCTGGGGTTCCCAGAGTTTACCTTCCAAACACAATCTGGCCCGCGTCTGTGGTTGCAGATCGTCTTCTGGATAGCTTTTTTTTTGGGGGGGGGTTAGGGTATATTATACTATACTCATAACAAGGAACCACCAAAATAGTATAGGTAGGTCATTAAGGGAGCATCAAGAGATCAAATGAAACTCAGGAGAACTGCACAAAACTCGCCAGGAAGCTGGTGCTTCAGCGCAGGACACAAGACCATGAAGTACGCACTGCGAGCCACGTAAGAGTTGATGCTTCTGATTGCAGATGCCTGGCGATCCGCGCAGGATTGCGGGCAGGAGAAATAGTCGTACCAGATGAACAGCGGCTTGGCACGTAGTTCCGATGCTGCTGGCGCAGAGACGCGCCCCGCAAACAATTCAACCACCGGCGGAACGACGATCTGGCTCTTGCCAGACAACATGTTTCTCAGAGCATCTTGCAGAACTTTCAGCTGCTGCCCGGCCGGGTCAGGATGCTCATCAGCAAGCCACTGGTGCGACACGAAGACTGCATGTCCATGAGTCCTCTCAAACTCGACAAGGTCGCCGCTGCGCAGCAGCTCCTCATGCGCCTTGACGACAGACAGTTTCATGAAGGCCTCCCAAGGCATGTGCGGAGGTATTCCTGTAGCACGAAGTGAAACACAAAGACAGGACCGGCCTCCAGTGGTAAAGTATACCTGAGCAATGGCCACATTCATGGATCCTATCAGGCCTTTGGAACCCGAAACGAAAAGTCGGCTTCGAGGCGCATTGTGAAGGCTGCCTCACATGCTTCATCCAGAGGTCGGACTCCCTGGGACAGAGTAGCAGCGAACTGCTCCAGCGGGCTTTGACTCGCGGACTCCCGGCGAGTTGTCCCACAGAGACCTGCATCGCCGGTAACTCTTGCAATATGTTGCATTTTGTGGCATGCGAGCAGCGGAACGGACGTGATTTAAATCATCTGCGGACATTACTTTGCACTGGGCTAAGTCGGTGGTCACTCCAGGTCTGGCCTTGAAATGGCATGCGCAGGCAAGGGCCATCAAGCCCCCGAAAACAGCAAGAAAAATGGAGCTGCGCAGTCAGGGGTGGTAGCGGCTTAGTGCGCAGACATGCACGGTAATCGCACTAGGTGTGTCATAGAGCCCACCATCCGCTTGTAACACGAAGAAAAATGCCAGTTTGTTTGATAAAGTGGCCGGCAGCAGCTTTTCAAAATTCGTTGCTAGATGTGACCATGATGATCGTGATGCAGAGTACGGCACGTGTTTGAATCATTCTACATCAATTACCTGTAGAAAGATATCGTGCATTGCATCACGAACTTTCCTTTGCATGGCTGGTGTGCTTCATGCGAGCATCATGGACAACATGGCTCGCTATGGACTCAGATGTTCTGATTGTGGGGCAGGTGAGAAGCTTGATCAGGTAGTTAGTTGCGAGCATTGTTTTTCTCATGGATGATACGATCGCAGGTGTTGCGAAGAAAGCAGCAGCATTGGCACGATCAAGATATCATCTTGGGGGTTCGTAGTTCTCACCCTTATCATGCAGCTCGTGATGAATGTGGCCGCTACAGGAACATTGGCTGCCATGAAACTAGCTTCTCGTCGTCCTGCATTGCTTTGAGCAGCCTTTTGAAGACTGCAGCCATGACTGTTCGACCGTAACGACCTCGAATGTTTTTCAAGCGGCTTTTGGTGATCAATGACATGTTTATGATTCTGGTGGCTGTTACAGTCGTGCTCCTGCCGTTTTGACTGTTGTGGGCCCTCGGATAGTGATGCTCATAACTACCTGACAGTGATTATCATCGTGATGACGATGATGCCTGATTTCAGTTCCCACTGATCCACCAATCTTTAAAGATTTCCGTACCTTCAATTCTTCTACTCTTATCACTTCTATATTGATCCTCGTGCTTCTGTTCTTGTGAATGAGTGCGACTCCCATCACCAGCGTCTTCATCTGCTACCAGGCCGGCCCCTTTTCGGCGCTGTGCAATGCTCTTCCGAATTCAAGCATGTCCTGGAATCGCAAAACTAACTCCAAGACTGCAGCGAGGTCAGGCTGCGTCACATTTTGACTGCCGACCTGCTCAAGTGCAGTGGCTTTGCAAGTGAGGAACTCTTGTGACAACGACACCTGATGCTCGTGCTGCTGCTGCCAGCACTACCACGTTTACGAGGGGGGCGGCGACGACGACCACCATCGATAATCTTCTTTTCCCGAGAGCTGCAGACAAACGAGAGCGGCCAATCAGAGTAAGGATCACCTGAAGTTCCTAAAGACCCGACGAAACCCCAAGCTCCCGTTTCTGCAGGAATTGAGGGTCTGTGGCCTGCCTAGAGATTTGAATGTAGCTTCGTGCTTCCTTCCGGTACATTCCAATACCGAACGAGAGACAGTGAGCGGAGATGCCCTCAAACAGTCTAGGCTCGCATGGAAGGTTTTTTTAGCAACCTGCAATCTCATCACATGTGGAAGAGAGAAAATGCCGAATCGGCACACCAAACCCCCCTTCACTCCAGCAGCCCGGACCCGACCCCACAAGCTAAGCCCAAAAACCCACTAACCCTCCGCCTCCAAAAAGAGCCTGAAACCTCCTTTAGAGGTTTAGGGCTTAGGGGTTTAAGCCTTCAGGGTTTAGGGCTCCTTAAGCCCCTAAACCCTAAACCCTAAACCCTGAACAAAGTGGCGCCCGGGCCTCTCGGCCTCTCGGAGAGCCTCTTGCTCTCCTTTCAGGATCTCCGGCGGCCTTTCGTCCGACTCCGGCCAGCTTACAGGGAACACCAGAAAGTTGGAATATGGTTTCATGGTAGGCTACCCTATAATTTACCATAGAAGGGTTAGGATAATCATATTCCAACTTTCTGGCTTTTACCTTAGATGGCGACTTCTCGAATTCATTGTAGTTGGCATGTTTGGACTGTTTGTGTACTGAAGTTATTGGTGTCCATAGGGGGTTGCCAAGCTCTTGTATAGGCTACACCACAAGCTACTGGCTACTAACTGTCGCTACTACTAAAACTACGACAACTACGACAACTGCGACGACGACTACGACCACGACTCTGGTACGACTTCGACCACGACTACGACTACAATACCACGACGACAACGACGACCCCGACGTCAACCCCGGACCCGGACCCCGAACCCGACCGCGACACGACGACGACGACAGCTGCTTGCACGTGTGCATGGAGCACATGAATACATGTCTGCATCTTTGCTCGGCTGTACACACCTGTGACTATGTGCAACTAACCGTATGCGGTGCATGTGCACTTACACACATGCAGCCGGTGGCGAACATGCACACGTGCATACATGTCCATCCCAGCGATGTCTGAAATACTTTCCCAATCACCCGAATGGAGACTAAAGATGTAGAAACGAAGCAAGTGCGCAAGCGTTGCACTTGATCTTACCAGGGGCCGAGCTTCCGATAGGAGATGATGAGCGTGCTATGCCTCATGGAACATGAATGAGGTTCGGACATGAACGTGCAGATCACGAAATCACAACGTCTTCAACTTCTGCGGCCCGAAGCCTAAGTCTTAAGTCTGCATCATTCTAGCATCAGTCCAGGTCTGTCTAAGTTGCAGCTTCTGTTGCAGGCTCCCCAAGTCCCTAAACCCAATTCACGGGCAAAAAAACTACGGACCACAAAATGCTGGATTTCAGAAGGCCAGCCGGTGCCCAAGCACAGAAGTGTCTGCGAAAATTTGAAAAGCCAACACTGCTCGCAATCCCAACAGGAAGACACATTCAATCAAGCTCGTGCCTACGGGGAATCCAACGGCTGTTTGCTTCCTCACATCCGAACCTCTGTACCCCACCATGCCGCAATCTGCTTTTTGATTTGATTCCCTTATTTACCCTTCGACTCTTCACCTTTACCTTCTCTGAGCTCGCCACTGGTGCTTCCAGGAAAGCAGCTCATCCTGATGAACGAAAGCAGGGTCTGAGGCTTCGCGGAGCAGGTCCAAGACTGCTGCGAGGCTGAGGCTGCAGGTGGAAAACCTGCTAGATCGCCTATGATGGCGATATATGGCGATCATTATAACCAACTACTCGCAAAAACACGCCAGCTGCTTAATGACTGACCAGAATGACTACAGGAACCGGATTACTGCGTCCTTGAACTTCAAGTCGTGCCGCGGAAGGTCTGGAACCTGTATCCTGACACGACGGGCCGCTGAAAGACTTCTCATCGCAGGGTTCATGCTGACTTCCAGTCTAGAGTCTAGATTTCTAGATTTAAACTCCGTCAAGCCTAGACGTCGCATAGGCTGTTCTGCAAGGGTAGCGAACATAGAAGTCTGCACGCAACCAGGCCTCTTGAAGTACTTCTTGTTGGAGGTCCTTACCACAATCTCCTGCTTCTCATGATCCACCTGGCGACGAAACTGGCCATGCGTTACGTCCTTGCTCCTTACCAAGGTATTTACAGTACCGTTAAACTCGCACTGTTTCCAAGCGATGGGCATGCAGCTGCTGCCGCAGGAACTGGAAGCACCATATCGGGCCGGGGCTCAAGAGCAAGGTCATCTCCGTGTCTTTAGGGGCAATTCGAAGGTTACATCCTGGCACCAGACAAGGGGAACTTTCAGAAGCGTACCGACACGCTGTACACGTCGGCAGGGTACGGGAGATTGCGGATCCGCCACTGGAAGTGCTCCGGCCTTGGCTTCGACTCTTTCAACCACGTCAGCCCATGTCGCATATGCAGTAGCGTCTTCTGTAACCATCACACACACACACACACGCATATGCAAGATTAAGGTTTTACTCTGATTCCTACCCTACACTTCGCACCGCGTAGACTGAACACGTGTAAAGTGCATACCGTATTGCAGCTCACGTCCTTAGCTGTTCTGTACTCCGTACTGCGAGCTGCTACATGCAACGATTTTCACGTGCTATTGAAATTGCATACAGCTACATGCTGTACATATATGCTACGCTGCTACGCACTGGCCGATATCTCAAACATGGCTTTGTGCCTGGCGGATTGCCCGCAGACTCCGAAGGGCAAAGTTGCCGTCGTGATGGTGTGCAACGCGGGTACTACCGCTGCTGCTGAGAAGTGGGCTAATATGACGACCAACAACAACGACGGCGGCGACGGCAACGGCAACGGCAACGGCAGGGATGATGGTCATGATGACAGCAACTGCAAACTGAAGACTACAGATCCTTATCACCGTGCGTGTCACCTTGCAGAAAACTGAGGCTGCAGCGTGTCCTTGCGAAGGAAGATGGGGTTACTCCTCGGCCCAGAGACGCGACTAGTGTGATGTTCGGGCCTACATGGATCTGGGCTTCTGCGATATGTAGAACAGGGTATTGCAGGGTGTCGCTCGTTGCCCTGCTCTCATCACCAGAAAGGCCAACCCAGGCCGCGGCGAAGAGGCGCGCATGATGTCGGAGTAAGGATCGAAAGCACCTTCGACCGCCTGCCGTTGTAACACTAGCAGTACGAGGCCTATCAGAAAACTCGGAAGAACGATGGCAAAACTACGTATAACCACCACCCAACAAAAGCCGCAAAGACAAAAACCAACCAACCTGGACCCGAAGCACCCCCAACCCTCCAGCATACGGGACCAGAACCCTCCACTCTAAAGTTAAATCTGTGCACTCTAGACTCGTAGCAGCACGAACACACACAGCCTAGACTAAGAATCCTTCAGACCAGCGGCATACATACATTGATGGGCAGATAGATGGATGCCTCCAACCCTAAACCCTCACAGTCAACCCGAACACCTCAACCCTCACCCAAAAGCCCCGAGCCCCTGAAATCCGAAGCCACTTAACTTACCTTTGGTTAGTAGGGAATGGAGGAATGCGGTACAATTACAACTTCTATTACTGCCATTCTTCCATTTCTTACTAAGCAAAGGTAAG